TAATTAAATTATTCACATAAGCTAAGTTTTAGTCTTTGTCTATCAATTTTTTTTTTTTTGTAAAGTATGTAATGGCGTGTTGGTTGCGTCGTATTAAATATTTGCGGTGATTTTTTATTCTACTTTGGTATATTTTTTTTTTTTTAAAATAACGAATTTTAACGGTTTTTTTTCTTGTCGCTAACAATCGTTGGTAAAAATAAAAGAGACCGAAAGAAAAAAAAAACTTTCATCGAGTTTTTTTTCTATTACGAAACGATGAAAGTGTCATTAGAAACGAAACGAAATGGAGGAGAAGGAGGAGGAGGAGGAGGAGGAGGAGGAAGAATTAAAAAAATTTTTTTTTTTTGTAAAAATAAAAGAAGGAATGAAATCAATTTTGTTCGTCCGTATATGGGATAAGTAATAATAATAATTATTTAAAAGTTATTATTATTATTATTATTACATGGCGTTATCTAATAAATATATATATGTATTGATTAACACACGTGATGTGTTGAAATATTTCGCCAGGTTTTTTTTTTTCTACATTACCTTTTGCAAGAGAATTTAAAAAAAAAAAAAAAAAGATGATAAATATTTCGAACTTAATTAATGTCAAACGCGTAACAACAACAACCAGAACAACAACAACCAGACGTTTCAAACATAAAAATTTGTCGTTTAATATTTATTTATTTATTTGTAATGGCACCGTTATATTTAGATTGCAAAATTTTTTTTCTTTTTAAAATGTTATTATTGTTGCAACCCAAATGGAAAGAAAAAATTATTTATTTATTTATTTATTTAAATTATTGAATCGTTTAAAATGTTTTTCCGCCATTTTGATTTTTAAAAAAATTTCGCAAGTTTCCTTGACTTACGTCTACGCATTATTTAGCAAAAAGTCGCTAAAAAAAGAGGAAGGGAGGTAGGGAAGGGGATGAAGTAAGAAAATAAAAAAAAAATCACTGGAGATATAAAATGTGATGGGTTGGGTTGACAATAAATTTTATTATTATTATTATTATTAATATCCCTTAGTTTTATTATTATTATTATTATTGTGGGGGGTTCAAGGACGACGTTCGTTTTTAAAGTCATAGTTCGGGGGCATGAAAATTAGGGTTGGAAAATTTAATAGTTTTTATATACCCGGTTGTCCTAGTCCTTATTTATTAATTTTAATTAATTATTTATTTACAACAACAACGACAACCTTTATAATTTTCTCAGGTAGGGGGGCAAGGGTGGAGAGAGAGAGAAATTTTAATGGAAAGTAAAATTTTTTTTCTCTCTCTCTCTCTATTATCTTATTATATTTAATTGTCGATAAGTTTTTCTTTTTTAAAAATTTCTAAAACTTTTTTTATGAAATGTCACTCACGTGACACAAACATGGATGTGGATTATGTCATAGGTAATCAGGTACACTTTAAAAAAAAACAGGAATTTTGGTTTTTATTATGTTTTCTTATATAATTTTTTTTTTCTTATTTTATTACCCGGGTTAAATTTTCTTATATGATTTGGGGTGTCAAGTTTTGCTTTCGTTCATTTTTTGCTGTTGCTTTTGCTGCAGCTGCTGTTGTTGCTGGTGATAGGATAACGTTACGGGGAAAGTTTACACCACCACGTGTTGTTTGTCGGATGTAATTGTAAGAAGAAAAAAAATTCGTTTGTCGAAACGAGAATTATTATTGTTTACCATGAAGAAATTTTTTTTAAAAACTTTCAAACGACTCTCACTCTCTCTCTTTCTCTCTCTCTCTCTCTCTCTCTCTCTTTACCTTACAAACATAATCTTTTGATTTGAATGTTATCACATAAATGCCGAAAAAAAAAAATTTCTTATTTATTTATTTAGGCTTTTGTAATTTCACTTTTATAAATTTATTTATTTTTTTCTTTACTGGAAAACAACAAAATGGTGGAAATTAAAATTGAGTAATTTATTTTATGGTAACAAAAAATTTTTTTTTCTTATTGGATAACAATAACAATTTGAAGGTTGTTCTTTCGCCCATCTTATATTTGATTGTTTGTTGTTTGTTGTTGAATTGTTTTCGTTATCATTATTGACCTTTATTTTGAAATAAATCAATTTTTTTTTTTATAGACACCCAGGCGGAAATTTTTAACGTCTTAAAACGTGTAAAAAAAAAATTTTGAAGGGTAAAATTTCACAATGGGTTCGCCATATTTAAAAGAAAGAAAACAATGGAGGTGAAAAAAAAAAAAAAAAAAAAAGGCTTGGTTAAGAAAAAATTTTTTTTTTAATTTAAAAAAAAATCAACGACAAGGTTTAACCTTATTATATAATAATAATAACAATAACTATTTTTTTCTGTGGTCACGTGACGAACAACGATAAATATTTACAATTATTTATTTATTTATTTATTTATTTATTACACAATGGGTTTCATTTAGGTTTAATTTACAAGATTTAAATCCACGGTCAATTTTTTTTTTTTTGTTTTTTAATACCTTCCCCTCTCCCCCATCAATTATCAAAACGTTATTTCCCCCCCCCCTAAACCTTTTTAAGTAACCTAATTAATTAAGATTAAATTTTCGAGGAAAATTCGTACCTTAAAAATCAATTCACGAGAAGAGTTTTCATCTCGAGTTCTTCTGGGGGGAGGGGAGGGGTAGGGAGGAGAAGGGGGCCCTTAGGTAGGTAGTTATTCAATCGAAAAGTGGATTTATTAATAATAATAATAATTGTTATCTAATAGGTATGATAGTGTAATCTAATGATGATGATGATGATGAGACGAGTCTTGTTTTTCTCACAAAAATTATTATTATTATTAATTTGACGCCATTCGAAAGTTGTCGTTATTTTTTTTAAATAATAATAATAATAATAATAAAACTCGAATCAATCGTAATCTAAATTCTTCTTTTTCATTATTATTATCATCGATTTTTTTTATTTTTAAATAAAAGAGAAATTGATGAGTTAACTTGTTTTTTTTTTTTTTTTTAAATTAATTTTCAGGTACGTTTAAATAATTTTAAGGTTTTTTTTTTTTTATAAAACTTTTGTAATTAATTATAAAAACATTTTGTGGTTGTTGTTGTTGTTGTTATTTCATTTCCGGGGTGCGGGTTGTAAACGAAAATGATGATGATGATGATGAGATTTTTTTTTTAAAAAACCAGTCTGGCTCACCTTTAAACGATTTGAACAACATGTTTTATCATTATTATCATTATTATTTAAGTCTATTAGATAATAATAATAATAATAATAATAATAAAACATAATTTTTTGTGTGTTGATACATTTGAATGTTTATAATAAATAATTAAAAATTAATGGTATATTTTTGTGTCGCATCACATTTGCTAAATATCTTCTATTACCTAGTTTCATAAATTAGGGAGGGAGATGGGGGGCGGTGAGGGGGGTAAGGTTTATTTCTCCCGGATATGAATATAAAAAAAGGAGTGGCTGGGTTCATGTTGTTGTTGTTGTTGTTGTTTTTGTGGTGCAACGAACGATGTGGCAATGAAATGACCTCAGATTACATGGGTTACATCTTCTTCTTCTTCTTTAAGTGAAAGGCAACATAAATTTGTTACAACCATCTTAAAGTTTAAGGACAAATTTACTTTTCTTTTTTTTAAACGATGATGATGATGATGATGATGAAGGAAAGTTAAAAAATATTATTTTGTAATTTTAAATTTGAAAAAATAATAAAAAAAAAAAACTAAATGATGACCTTTTGATTGTATCATATCCGATTATAAAAACGGAAATTAAGGAAGATGAAAGAGAATTATTATTATTATTATTATTATTGAAATTTTTCTATTCCTCTCACATTTTTTTTCCTTTTTGGAATCCTTGATAATTTCACAATAATTATTAAAATGTGAATGTTATGTTTTCTCAGGTATAACGGTTTTTTTCTTTTTTTCTATACTTTTCCCATGACATAATATTAATTTTCCCAAAAGGTCTACCTGAATCTTTTCTCATTCACGAAAAAAAAAAACAAAAAAAATTATATAAACCTTGACATTTCAAATCCCCAAAAAATGAATCCCCTAATTTTTTTTTTTTTTTTTAAATTAAAAACCTGAAAATGATGAATATTCATTTATTCTTCCTCATTTTTTTTTGTTGTTTGTCGATTGTTTGTTGATTGTTTTAAATGTAAAATGATTAACGTGACTGCATCGTTCTTCCATGTCGAACCTTTCATAATAATACAACCGAAATTAATAATAATATTAATTAAATAAATAATACGTTAATATAAATTTAATGGCGGCGACGATACGATTTGAAAAATAATAATAATAATAATAATGCGTTATTAAAAAAAAAAAGTTTGCATGATAAAAATTTATATACTTCCGGTAAATTAAAAACTATTGTTTAAATAATATTATTATTATTATTATCATCATCGTCGTGGTACATGTTTGACATATTTAAATATTCGTGATTTTAAATAAATAATAATAATAATAATTTTTTTTTTTTTTTGGGGGGGGGTTGATGAGTGGTTAAAGCAAACGCTTTTTCTTCTCACTTTTTTTTTTTTATTTAAAAGTCAATAATAATAATAATAATAATTTTTTCTTCTGTTTTAGGTGGATCCTGTTTAGTTTTTTTACTGTCGGTGTGATATACGGAGCTCCCAGAGAATACAGCACAGATGAATTAATAACAGAACCTCGTCCTGGAGAGGAATTTGTTAATATACAAACAACGTCAAAAGATAAAGTCGACCTTCAAGGTATGATAACCGTTATTAATTTTAAATAAATCGTTTTTTTTTTTACGAATAATAATGATAATAATAATTTTGGTTTTGTAGATAAATCATTTTCGACATCACATAAAATCCCACAACTTTCGAAAGTTAATAGATCGCAAGATTTTCAAACGGCACATAAAATACCACCACGAGTTAGTAGATCCGTTAACGAAACAACGGATTTAGATGAGAGAAAACCGAGAGTTTCCGTTTCCGTTGTTGAAAGTACGACGGGAAAAGATCCCGTTGAAAGTGTCGTTACTCAAACATCAATAAAAACATCAAAATCTAAAAAAATAAATAAATCCCTTGTTAAAAATCCACACGATGGTATAATTGATATAAAAGCGGATGAAGGTTTGATTGATGAAAGGTTGAACGCCGACGAAGAAGAACAAAATATAATGAAAAAGAAATTTTTAAAAACGGAAGTTGTTAAATCCACTTCTGAAGATTTTGTTTTACCATTTAGACTTCACGTTCCACTCGAAGATGAAGTTAAAGAAATAACTTATGATAAAAAGTAAATAAATTTTTTTCCTTTTTCCTTCCTTTTTCATTTCGTCCATTTTTTAATTGTGATTGTTTTTTTTTTTAGGCGCGCGTTTTTACCAGATTTTGTTCTTACCACGACTCAAGAGCCCCCCATAACAACATTTAATTATAAACATCTTCACGAGAAAACAATGAAGTCAAAGATGGTCGTACCACAAATTTTAAGTAACGAATTTAAAATAAATAATTATGAAACTTTTAACGGAGGGGAAGGTATAAAAGCATCCGAAAGTAAAACGATAACCGTTAAAAAAGATATTAAACATGAAAAAAAAGAAAAATATAAAAAAGATGAAAAGGATGACTCGGATTTTTATGTTGTGTCGGTTAACAAACAATCCGCACAAAAAGACGTTAATTTTGATTTTGTGGATGCCGATGAAAAAGTATTAGTACCTGCTGGATCTAGTCCGAGTCAAAGTTCCAGAATCAACGTAAAAAAAGGACCGAACGGTCAGGAATACGAATACGAATACGTTTATTATTATTACGATGAAGAAGATGACGGTGGTAATGGTGGTGGTGGTGGTGGTGCAGGAGCATCGAAAGATGGCGGAAAAACTGTTATTTCGTCAACGGAAAAAGTTTACAACGGTCACGATGGTCCACCCAAAGACGTTCAGGAACAAAATTACGTTCACAGGTAGGATTCAGACGTTCAGGTACAATTTTATTATTTTTAGTTTGAATCGAATTAGTGTATGATTAATACTCTTTTTGCTGAACAGATCTTCGACGAGTGGTAGTAAATACTTACCAACCGAAGCCACAAAAACATTTAAGAATAATAAAAAAAGTAGAGTCGAAGAAACGGAAGTCAGTAGAAACGAAAATCAAAGTCAAAGCGTAGTCGGGAAAAATGGTAGAAATGGAAGCGGAAGTCGATTTTCTCCTTCTCAACAAAAAAAACAATCCGAACCGGCCAACAACGAAGTTCTTCCTCCAGCTGGAGGAAGATCTGGTTTTAGGTAATTAATAATAATATTTTTCTTCGATATTTAGTAATAAGTTATGTATATTTCTCTTAATTTGAACTCTAGGCCACGAGGTCGATCGACCACCACTACCACAACAGAAGAAATCCCTGCTATTGGTGAAGAAAGACTTCCGTCCAATACAAGATTTCCTCCTAGATCTAGAACCAGCGGTGCTTCAGGAACGTCTCCTCAACCTCAAGAAGGAGTAGGAAAGAGTAAAGTGCGAGAAGGAAGCAGTCAGAGTAGGCTTCGAATTCCAAATTCAAGTTTGTTGGATAGTTCTTCCTTCCGCACTCATTCGTCAGATGCTTCAATCGAAGACGATTCGTCCTACGAATCAGAATTGCAAAAAAGAGGTCAAGGAAGGTAAAAAAAAAAAAAAAAAAAATTTCAAGAAATTTAAGTTTAATTTTTAAAAGAAGTAAATAATAATTTTGGAATTATTTAAAGGGGGCAAGTTTCGGAACAAGTTTCCCGAAGAGGAGGAAGACCGGTACCAGTTGCCTCGTTTGATAATTCTGAAACCGAAGTAAATAAAAGACCAACGATCCGAAGGCCGAGCGAAGATAGAAGAACTAAAGAAAATGTTGAATACGAGGATGTAACGCAAGAAAAACGAACAAGAACAAATTCAGAAGATGGTACACGTGGCAGAAGAATAAAAGTAAACGATGAAGAAAGTGACCAAGGACAACATTACAAAGTTCCCTTAGAAGAAAACGATCAAGAAAGACAGGTGAAAGTAAATGTGCCACAAGAAGAGGATGAAGTTTACACGAAAGAAATACCTGATTCTAAATATCAAGACAGAAATACAAATGTCAATTTGGAAACTAATCCGGGGGTACCACAATCAAACGTAAATTACGATGGAACTAATTTAGGGGGAGAAAAAATTAATCAAGAAGGTAGAGTAAACGTAGAAGGCAGTTATCAAGAAACTCCACCGAAAGTCATCTACAATGAATACGAAACTCCAAAAGTTCCCTTGGAGGAAAAATTAGAGCCTCAAGGTGGAAAAGTGGAATTAAGCGATTCACAAATACCAATTAGAGATGAAACGGTTCCTCAACAACAATTTAATGGTAACGGTAACGAAGGTGTTGTAGGAAATGCAGATTTAGGTGTAAAATCATTTTCCGAAGATGGTAAGAATAAGATTTGGGCACGAAACGCATGGATACATTAAACAGGTCCATGTCGAATTTTAAATGATATTTTTTTTTTATGACAGGTACGTTAGAAAAAAGTCAATTAGGTCAAGTGACATCGGAACAAAGTGAAAACTTAGAAGGTAAAGAATTTAGAACGGTAGATTCAACAACAGAAGACCAAAACGCAGTAGGATTGACAAGTGCAATGATGGAAAAAGTGGCTTTAGATTTGTACGCCATATTGCAACAAGCTCAAAATGAAAACATTAGAACAAATTTTGTCGATGGAAATTCAACTGATATTGTAGTAACAGATGCGTTGAATGATGGACCGACAGAATTTTCAACTTTTGGAGATGGTTCTACAGGTGAAATTTTGGTTCAAACTACTCCTATTACGACCACAACTACAACGACCACCACTACAACTCCAGCTCCTACCACCACGACTACCACAACTACTCCGGAACCTACTCAAGCTGCGGGTAGAGGACGTTATAGAAACAGAGGTAATAATCAAAACGTTTTTTTAATGTCCCTTTTAAAACAATTTTAACTTTAAACATAACTTTAACAATTTCAGTATCAGCCGGAGGAAAAGGAAGAACAAAAGTTTCTACAACGACAACTGAAGCACCTGAAGAAGTGACCACTCCTAAAACAACAAGAGGACGTTTCCATGGAAATCACGGTACGTTCCTTAACAATAAATAATATTTTTAAGTAGTTCAATGAAAATTTAATTTTTGTTTTATTTTTTTTTGATCAGGAGCTCGAGGAACAGGATCAACGTTTTCAAGAAAACCTAACAAGGCGGTTGTACCAAAAGAATCAGTACAAGAAATTAGTGACAGCGAAGAAACTTCAAAGAGCACTCCGGAAAAATCATTTGGAGACCGACCCAGAAATAGATTTAGGGCAAGTCCTAAAGTAAATACAAATCATGCTGCTCCTGCTCCTTCGGATACTCCTGCTACTGCACCTGCTCTAGGTGCAACAGGTGCAGGAGGTACTAGAGTTCATGCTAATGACAGGTAAGGATTGTGCAAAACATTTTTACGAATTGCAAACTTCACGGTAATTTTATTCAATTTTACCCCAAAGGTTTCATTCACGACGAAGAGGAGGAGTGAGAGGAAGTACAGCAGTCTCCCAACCACCACCGTCCGAAGAAACACCAGCAGAAGAAAAAGAAATATCTCATGCAGAAGAACCAGCACCAGTTGAAGAAAAGAAAACTCCAGCTGTTTCAGCTTTGAAACCGATAAGGTATTTTCATAAAAAATAATAAAAAACCTAAATAAATATTTGAAATGACATTTTTTTTTTTTTTTGGAACAGGCCTAAAATAGGAGGAGTTAGACCTTTAAGGCCAGGTCTCAGAGCTCCATCGGTACTTCAACAAAGAGGACAAGCCAATGTACCACCAACCGCACCTCAATCTTCGGTTGAAACCGAAGAAGAAAAGGTTGTAGCTGAACCAGAGTCACAACCCGTTCAACAAAGTGAAGAGGCAAGGCTAAAACAAATTTTACTTCCTTAAATTTTGTCATTAATCATATAAAATTTAAAATTTTTAATATCAGTTTAATAATTATTATTATTTTAATTAAAGACTCCAGAAACTCCGGCAGCTCCATCGGGTGATGCATTGACAAGATTGAAAAGTCGACCACGACTTCGTATTGGTGCCAACACTAATCTTCCAAAACCTCAGGGAAGTGCAGCACCTCTTCCAGGAAACAGAAGAAAATTAGTTTCTTCCCTTTTACCAAAACGAAAACCAAATGAAGAAAAAGTCGAAGAGAAAGTAGAAGAAGAAACGGAAGAAAAAGTTTCCGAAGAAGTTCCCGCCGAAGAGGAACAACAATCATCCGTGGTAGAAGAATCATCTAGCACCACTGCTGAACCCGAACCGAAAGGTTTATCTGGTTTATTAAGTGGAAGAAGAAGAAATTTAAATAGAAGACCCGGAACTTTGTATTCGAGAGCTCAACCTCAACCAGTTGAATCATGAAAATTTCAAATTATTAATTAGAATTCTTTTTCAATCAATCAATCAATCACCGATTGAACAACCGGATTTTTTTTTAAATTTTTTAAAATTCAATCGGTCTCGATCGTTTTTTCATAATACATAAGCGAATTAAAATAATTTTTTAACTGAAAACAAAGAACGAGTTTTCAGAATAAAATAAAATCCGTTATTTAAATAAATTGCTTCATCTTCAAATTTAAAATTGAAATTTATTATTATTATTAAAAATGAATGCTAAAGCATGTAAAAGAAAAAAACGGTTAAAACTTTTTAAATTGAATAGAAAAAAAAAAAAAAAAAAAAAAAATAGTTAAATATAAGTAGAAATGAAGTCTGATTGACTAATGAAAACAAAAAAAAAAAACTTTTTTTATTTTTATTTTTATATATCATTTTAAAATATTATTTTTTATCAATTAGTTTTTTTTAAATAAGAAAAAAAATTATTTAATATAATAAAAACCTTTTTTACCTTTTTATATTATAAAAAAAAATTTTATATTTTTATTAGTTTTATCGTACAATAATGAATATATATGCATATAGCAGACATTGATGTTTGCTTATACTGAAAAAAGTGCCAATAAAAAGCATAAAACGTTTTAAACCATTGTATTTTTCATATAGAATTATTATTATTATTATTATTATAATTATTTAAATCAACTTTTTTTTTTCTTTGCACTAATTTTTCTTTTTTTTTTTTTTTTTTTCTTATAGGAAATGATTTCTCAACGATTTCCAGATTTTCCTTTTTTTTTTTTTGAATTAATTTTTTCAGCAGTGTGACTTAAAATTTATAAATTAAAACGGTAAGTTTATTATTTATATTTAATTTAATAATATATTTTAATTAATTAATACTTTACAACTTTAATAATAGTATATTAATTTTGATTCATAGATATAATTTTTTGTACAGCTGCACTAAAATTTTCACATATTTCAAAAGGAGGAGGGGATATTTTATATTCGTCACCATTACGATATTTTCCAGTTTTTACTAAAAATCCTTTCATGCCCAATTGTTGTGCTCCATTAACATCATCTCTAACATCCTAAAAATTTATAAATTCTTCCTTAATAATAATAATAATAATAAAGTTAGTATTTTATTGAAATACTCAAAATTTAACTTACATCTCCTATCATTGCAGCATAGTTAGGATCATCATTTCCTAAAGCAGCTTGAAAAAAAGATTTGGTAGGTTTCCCTACGACAAGGGCTTTACACTCAGTTGCATATTCAAGCCCTTTAACAAATGTACCTGGTCCTAATGACAAACCATCTGGCTCTTTGAAGTACCTAACACATAAATTTTTAAATAACATTCTAGTAAATACAAAATATAATCACACAAAAAAAATGAAAATTAAATAATCACCTAGCTTCGTGAATAGCTATTAATTTTGCGCCATCCATTATTAATCTGAAAGCTTTATTCAATTGACTATAATGAAATTCAGATGGAGCGAGACCAATCACTACTGCATCATACTCATTTTCATTTATATTTGAAAATTCAGAAAAATCATCCCAGGCACCTTTATCAATCATAAGCATTGGTTTTAATTTTTCTTTCGTAAGCAAATCTCTTGCAGCATGAAGTGAAGTAAAAATTTCTTCCGGTTCTAATTCAAAGCCAAGATTTTTTAATCTTTCATAAAGAAACTTTCTCGATTCTTTGGTAGTGTTGGTGACAAATTTTACTTTTACATTGCTATCTCTTAACCTAAAAAATTTTCACAACTTAACTTCAGTGTGATACAAATATTATTGTGTAACATTAACATAAATTATTTATTTAAATAATATTTATATAATACTTATAATTTACTTTTTAAGAGCTTCAATTGAACCAGTAATAACTGAATTTTCAATGTGAAGAGTTCCGCTTAAATCTATTAATACTGTTCTCACTGTTTGACCTATGGCAGTCATATTAACATTAAAATACTTGATACCTTAAAAAAAAATAAAATAAAATAAAAAAAAAATAATAATTTTATATTTTATCTTATTGTAAAATTTAAAAAGTGTTTTAAAAACCGGTAATCATTCGTAGCAAAATTGCAATAAACGGTAGCAAATGCAGACAGCAAGAAATTTCCATTACTTCAAGTTTCTCACTTCTAAAGATTAAATGAGCTCTTTAATCATACGTTGACATGGTTAAACGAAAATTACCGAGCTCGGTAAGTTAAATAAATCCAATATTTTTTATTACAAAAAAAAAATTTTCGAAATCATGAGTCGTGAAAGAAATTTACCACCTATAAAACCACGCACTGGAATTGTTGGTATTGAAAGGGGAATTCAGGAGAAGCAAAGAGTTACCGATGCTAGCATTTCGCAAGCTTTTCAAGACTTGAGCAAATTAATGGCAAAAGCCAAAGAAATGGTTGCCATATCCCAAAGCATTTCAAACAAAATTAAAGAAAAACAAGGAAGCATTACCGAAGATGAAACAATTCAATTTAAGTCTTATCTTTTAAGTCTCGGAATTGATGATCCTGTCACGAGAGATTCCTTTAAATCGAACGATCAATACTTTACCAATCTCGCAAGGCAAATCTCAGAAGTTTTACTGACACCACTTGAAGAAGTTGGTGGCATGATGACACTGACAGATGCTTATTGTAGAATAAATAGAGCTAGAGGATTAGATTTATTATCTCCCGAGGATTTACTAGAAGCCTGTAAATTAATGGAACAGTTGGATTTGCCAGTCATATTAAGGCAATTCGATAGTAATGTATTAGTCCTGCAGTTGAAAACTTGTAATGATGAAGCTATTGTTGAGTTAACATCAGATTATCTAAAAGAAAATAATATGGTAACTTCATCACAATTAGCTCAGGAATTGGGCATATCTTTAACATTAGCTCATGAAAGATTGTTAACTACAGAAAAATATGGTTATGCAGTTCGTGATGATTCATTAAATGGAATTACATTTTATTATAATTTGTTTCTTCATGGAAATGAAGAATTAATTAGTCTCTATCAACAGTAAATAGGAATTTTATTGCTAAATTTTCATTTTCTACAAAATTTGCAAGGCAAGTTATTTTCATAACAAATATTAATTTTACACATTTTACAAGTGTGAAATTTTTCTTTTTAACTGAAATGACTTGTCTATAATATCTCGGATGAGTTAAGATAATAGAAAATGTTTTTTTTTAGTAAAATAATTATTATTATTTTTAAATTATAATCATTCATATTATTTATTTAAATAAAAGTTTAATTTTTGTTTTAGATCCAAGAATCAGAAAATCAATCTAATACTGGCACAGAATCTTCTAGAGCATCAACTCCGAATACCAAGTGCTCAAACAATACAGATCAAAACACTCCATCTTCGACGGGCAACGAAGATCAATCTAAAGAAAAAGTTTTTAAATTTAAGGATCCCAAGTTTCAGCATAATACAGTCAGCAGCAAAAGTCCAACCAAAAAGAAAATTTGGAAATCGTTAAAACAAATTATCGCTCAAGAAAGAGCTTTGCCATGGGGAGAAAATTTTGTTCATTGTAAGTGTTTTGGACTAACTTGAATTTAAAACTGTACTTAAAGTATATACTACACATAATTTTTTTTTTTTTTTTCTTTTTACAGATATAACAATAAATGCTCCACCTTCTTTTAAACCTGCAAAAAAGTACTCAGACATATCTGGACTACCAGCTCCGTATACAGATCCGCAAACAAAACTCTATTATTCCACTCCGGAAGAATTTCAAACGATCAGAAGTTTACCCAGTGATATTATTTCAGGTTATTTAGCTTTGAGAAGAGCAAATAATCCAATACCTTAGCTTTTTTCTAAAAGGTGTGTCACCTATTGATTTTGGACAAATCTAAAATTTATTTTTCATTCTCTACATGCTTAAGAATTAATATGATAATGACTGAAGATTCCGGTGATATTGAGAATTCTGCGACTGCAAGTTCGAGTTCTTTGGACAAAGATGACCTTTTCGATGATCAAGATTGGAAAAATATAAAAAAAAACTTTTTTATTTTAAGCACTGCAGGAAAACCCATCTACTCATTGCATGGAAGCGAAGATAAATTAGTAACTACATTTGGGGTTATGCAAGCATTGGTCTCTTTTGTTCAGTCTAATGATGATTCGATACAAGCTATAAATGCTGGAAACACAAAGTTTGTGTTTCTAGTGAAAGAGCCTATTATTTTAGTGAGTGTTTCTAAAACTAAAGAAAGTGAAAATCAACTTATTAAACAATTAAATTACTTGTACAATTTAATTTTATCCATTTTAACGTCAACGCAATTAAAAAAAATATACGATGAAAGGCGAAATTTCGATTTCAGACGATTACTAACTGGTTCTGAAAGATTAATTGATCATTTGTTAAATTTTATGAATTACGAACCTGGATTTGCGTTAGAAAGCATTCGTTGCTTAGCATTGGATCCATCCGTTCGTAACGGTATCAAATCAAACATCATATTGTTTTTTAGTAAAATAAAAAAATTAGTATTTGCTTTATTAATAGGGAATAACCAATTGATTTCCTTTGTCAGAATGGGAAAATACAGTCTTCATCCGATCGATATGCACATAATATTTAATTTGATTGATTCTACAGAGTCATTCAAAATGGCCGAAAGTTGGACACCGATTTGCTTACCGAAATTCGATCCATCGGGATTTTTACATGCTCACGTATCGTACTTATCGGACGATTGTCAAGCTTGTCTCGTTTTATTAACCGTCGACAAAGATATTTTTTTTACGTTGTCCGAAGCAAAGCAAAAACTCGTTGAAAAATTAAGGAGAAACGGTTATTTGGAAGCCATAAACGATTCTTTGACTCAATCTCCCATAGGAGCTACGGCGATAGATTCTGCCGTTAGGCATTTGATATACATAAATCGTCAAACTTCTCAATATTGGTGCCCCAAATTCGAAGCACCTTACGTCACACAAGATGAAACGCAAAGGATTTATTTACTCTATCAAAAACTTTACGAAAATTTACACTCAAAAAATTTAAAATTGATTTTAGAACAATTCGGTACGGAAACGTTATTTGCTTGGATGAACGCAGATTTAGAACTTTACGTTATTTACGATCCGTTTGCTTCGAAAGAAACAATTATAACGTCGTTAAGTAAAATAGTTAGTTGGGTGAAAAAAGAGCAAGATAAATTATTTATATTGAATGATTCCACTTTTTAATAATTGTTGTAATTATCTAACTTCTTTAAAATATACTAATGATAAATTAGATAATCGAATTAATTTTTTTGAGTGAGTTTTATTTAAACCTTAAATTTTAAATTGTAATTTGAATAGACACTTGATTGTACTTAATGCACATTAAAAAAATGTTAATTCTAATATTTGGGTCACATTTTTTTTGGAGGTAAATTTGTGGTGCACAAAACATTGTGCCGCCATTTTCTTTTGATACTCTTTTCTAAATATAATTTGTCATTGCACAATCAGTTGAAAATTATTAACTTTAACAGTTAAATCTAAAAAATTAATAATTTTTTATTTTACAATCAGGTGAATTATATTTTTTTCAAAGTTTTTCAGACTTTTAAGTCGGATATGTAAACTTATTATTTTCTTGTAATGTTGGCTACCTTTGACTGATCAACATCAGTGTTATGATAGAACAGTACTTAAATTGATATTAAACAGGTTTTTCTTTAAATTATTGCAAAATTTAATGCCTTGATATTTTAATGGCATTAAAAAACCTAACAGTCTTTGGATCTTCAAATGAGATAAAAATTTTTCTTACGAAATCGAAAGTACCTTGTATTTCATTAACCTGACCATGGATTATCTAAATGCTATTTATATACTACGCGAACTACAATATTGTCAAAGGTTACATTAAAAATTTAATTTTTTTTTATTTCGTTGTAACTTGGTGTTATTATTATTATTATTAACATGTAAAAATTAATTGAAAATTATAACGGAGTTTAATACTTGTTTAGAGTGCCAATGGATAATAATGTGGATAAAAAAATAAATAAAATTCAAAACCTACCATAGTTTATTTCATTCACAAAAAATTTGTATGAAATAAAAGAAATGCAAAAAGGAAAATTTTTTTTTAAAAGAAATGATTTATTATTGGCCGAATATCGCCAAATATTTAATTTTAAAAAATGGTTCGTGATAAAACGATTAAGATGAAATCAACTGAAAATAATTCCGGTGGTAGCTATGGTCTGCCAAATGAAAAGAAAAAAAATTATTCTGAAGTAATTAATATGTCTGAAAGCTCAAGGCAAGGATTACTTAATATTAGAGCTTTATTTTTTCTCACACTGTGGTATTTTTTTAGTGGATGTACTTTATTTTTAAATAAATATATATTGACATACATGAATGGTGATCCTACAGTTTTAGGTACTCGAAACTTTTCCTTTTTTTTTTTTTCGAAACTTTTTTTTTTTTTTTTTTTGTCAAATATTTAAAATTGAAATTTAATTTCAGGTACTTTTCAAATGATAATGACAGCATTATGTGGGTTCATTCAACTTTATTTTCCATGCGGAATGTATAAGCCAACTTTAAGAATGTCAAAACCTCCAGGCTTTTTCAGGCACATGATATTTGTCGGTTGCACCAGGTATTTTCAAATTTTTTATTACAAGGAATTAATTTAAAAATTATGTAACATGTAACATGAATAACATTAAACATGAACATTTTTAATTACAGGTTTACAACGGTTATTTTAGGGTTAGTTGCATTAAATTTTGTTGCAGTTAGTTTTACAGAAACGATAAAATCTTCTGCACCATTATTTACTGTATTAATATCGAGATTTTTGTTGGGTGAAAACACTGGTTTATATGTTAATTTATCCCTCATACCTGTGATGTCTGGTCTTGCTCTCTGTTCTGCTAATGAACTTAGTTTTAATTTAAAAGGTTTCATCGCTGCAATGCTTACTAACTTAACCGAATGGTAAAAAAAAAAAAAAAAAAAAAAAATTTTTATTAAATCTGATGCGGTCAAATCTGGTAAAATTAATTAAACTTTTTTTTTTTTTTTATTTCAGCTTGCAAAATGTTTATTCCAAAATGTTAATCAGCGGAGAAAAATTTAAATACACGTAAGCATTCGAGTAAGTATTTCAAATGATTTAATTTTTAAATAATTAATCAAGTTTTTTTTGCAGGCCTGCTGAATTACAGTTTTACACAAGCATATCATCCGTTTTTGTTCAAATTCCTGTAACATTCCTATTTGTCGATTCTTCTGGACTAAGTCAAACAAATGATCATTCTCTTTTACTAGCATTTATAATAAATGGAATTTTTTTTCACTTTCAAAGCATATCAGCCTATGTTCTCATGGACTATATTAGCCCTGTGACTCACAGGTATTATATATTTATATGAAAATTTTTATTAAATTTTAAGGGTAATTTAGGATAATATATGATTAAACATTTTTTTTATAGTGTTGCTAATACTGCCAAACGTGCTTTTCTAATATGGCTGTCAATCATTCTATTTAATAATCCTGTTACGATATTGAGTGGACTGGGAACTGCCATTGTTATTTTAGGGGTTTTACTATATAATAAAGCACAAGAATGTGATAAAAACGTAAGAAGCAAAACGTTAAGGTTATGACTTTGCTCCTGATCAAACACACAAAATTATTCTCTCTCCTGGCCGATTTAAAAAAAAAGAATATTTTTTTTTTTTTTTTTTTTTTAAATGGATCTCTCGTATTCCAGATAAAAAAATAATTTTTATAAATAAATTAATTTTGAATTCCTATATTTTATACACAATTATTCCTGTGTATATAAAGGTTTGTTATTATTTTAAAAATCAAAAAAAAAAAAAACTTTTCTGTGCCTTATGCACTGAAAACTCAAAATTTCATATCATAAATAAAAACGAAAAGATTCGTCATTGTTAATAAAAATTTATTATTATTATTAAAATAATTTATTTTATAATTTATCAGCATATAATTTTATAAATAAAATTTGTTAGTAATGTTTTAATGAATAACATTGGCAATGATTAATTACTATTCTAAACTAAAATAAAAATTTTAACAATTTCTTTGTAAAAAAAAGAAAAAAAAATATATATATATATATATATAAAAAATGATGATTTTAATATAGATTCAAATAAATATTTTACAATTTTTTCTATTTACATTGTAATTACATTAATTAATATATAATTATATAAAATGAGTTTTTTTTTTTTTTTTGATACTTTTTGTCGAGGGCACTCAGAATGTAAAAAAAAATTTTTTCACTTTATATTAAACATAAAAGCAAAGTTATTAATATTTGGAAAAAATTTGATCACCAATTCTCTTACAACACATAATATATAAATGCCTGGTTATTAAAAAATTGTATCCAGAGTATGCCTTAACAGTATTTCACACATTATAACAAATAATATAATTAAAGGAATAAAATTTTAAAAATCTAACTTATAAATAATGTTCTGTGAAACCAAAGATTTAAGAATAACTTTAAGTATTTACAAAATATATTCATATAATACATAAAGTCACATACAAAATATTAACGAAGACATCGTTTACAATGTATTGCATCTATAGCCGGAACAATTGTATTTGTATTCAGGTTCATAATGATTTTGGTCGAGTCTTAAATTATGACTAATCGGGTCCCACAAGCCAGGAGTTTGAATTATCTGTTTTAAAGAAGCTTAAATTAGAATGTTTTACATGATGAGTTTACAAAATTAAAAAGAAAAATATATTTGCAAACCTTTTGTACAAGCTCTTGCATGGCAGTTTGCACTCCATCCTTTGTTTTCACGCTAGACTCGATAAATAAAGTTGCATGTCTTTTAGCAAGTTTTATACCTTCCTCTTTGGTCACCTCTCTCTTTTCCAAATCTATTTTATTTCCAACAATTATTTTAATCAAATTTGGCTTTGTTGCATAGACATCTAATTCATTAAGCCAATCCTCAATTTTTCTAAATGTAATATAATTAGAAACATCATAAACTAATATAGCGCCATGAGCATCTCTGTAATAACTTGGAATTAGGGTTCGAAACCTTTCTTGGCCTGCTGTATCCCACAGTGCCAATTTAACCCTGTTTCCATCAACTGTCATTTCCTTTGTTTTAAAATCAACACCTATGGTAAGAGGCTGGTCGGGATCAAATTTATCATCGATGAATCTAAGTAATAGGCTAAAAATATTTTCGAATTAATAATACTATTTTTTTTGTAAATTTTAGATCAAAGGTATACAAAATACTAACGAATTAAATTGTAAATTTGAAATGGATAGAAAAATTTAATTTAGTCTCACCTTGATTTACCTACTCCACTCTCACCGATAATTAATATTTTTAACGTTGTTAATATTTCGTCTTCCATAATTTTTAAAAAAAATATTAATAAATTAATATAAATTTTATTTTTTGTTTTTAATGAGGAATTAAAAAAATAATAATTAAGAGCACAATAAGTTAGAAAATAATCATATTGTTATCTTATAGGCACTGAGTTTCAAATTTTTACATCTCGTTTCCAGAATTGAAGTTGTTTTGTAGTGTCTTTAATTTTCAACAGTTGCTATACTGAAACAAACGAGGAATGAAACACTAGTTTGACCCAAGTTTTAATTTTTGATATTAATTAAAATGTCTGGAGATGATCAGTAAGTTTTTTTTTTTTTTTTTTTTTTTTTAAATAGAGTAAATTTTTTTTTTTTTCATCTGAACATTGATCTTTTTTTTTTTAAAAGACCGACAAAATTATTTTGTACTTTTTACAATTGGGAAAAAGTTTAAACAAAGCCATGCAGCCTCTCGCTCACCGTGCCGCCATTAAAACTTTTAATACTATTCATTGTTGAATTATCGATCATGCTTTCCATAATATTACATAATAAAAAAAAACCGTAAAACTTAATTATTCAACTAATAAATGAATTTATTTAATTTATAACATTTACTTCTATTACATTTATTACATTTTTTTACGAAATTCAAAAAATAACATGAAAAAGCTAGTTTTTTTTTTTTTTTTTCCATGACGTATTTTTTAAAAATCATTCCCTGTTTAAAACGTGCAACTATTTTCCTTGAGGTTTTTTTATTAAAAAAATCATGTTTTTATTAACAGATAAACTTCTGTTAAAGTAATTTTTTCAAAAAGGTATATGTACCTGTAAGTTCACCCATGCCTGAAACTTTATTATTTGTGGCTTTGGACCAAAAAAAAATTTTCTTAATTTTTGTTCACTCTTCTCTTCGATAAGATAAAAAACTTATGTGCACATACATAACTGTAACTTTTGTGGAATTTTAAATAATTCAAGATATTTTTTAAACCGATTTGAACAAATTTCACTTATAGAAAATTATATTTATTACACATATATTATTTTTTTTTTTTTTTTTTTTCAGGTTAAGACCACCCCCATCAGTTTGGGCTCAGAAATCAGATCTTATTGCATTAACAATATGCCTGGAAGAATGTAAAAAACCTGTTGTTGAAATACATAAGGATAAAATATATTTTAAGGGCACAGGAGGATCAGAGAAAAAGACTTATGAAGTTGATATTAACCTGTACAGCGAAATTAATCCGGATGTAAGTAATTGTAATTATATAAATTTCATAAAATCAAGTTTTAATAATGAGATTTAAAAAAAAATTTTAATTATTTAAAATTAGGAGTCCTCCAGTAATATACTCGGGAGAGGTGTAGAATTTTTATTGAAAAAAAAGGAAGAGGGACCATTTTGGCCACGTTTAACAAAAGAAAAAGTCAAATACCACTGGCTCAAATTGGATTTCCATAAATTTAATTATGAAAAAGATAGCGACTCAGATGAAAACAACTTTTCCATGTCTGATGCAAGTATCACTATTGGGTTATTTAAAACATTGAGGCATATTTTATAAATAATTTTTTTATGTTTTATGTTTACAGTTTATAGATTCGGTTAAAATAGGAGATACTGTAAATGGTCCGGATAAAGAAGAGAGAGATGAAGATTCTGATGACTCAGATTTACCAGATCTGGAATGAAACAATAGTGTGACCAATTTAAAATAATAATAATTTTTTTTTTTTTTTTTGTAATTTTTTAAAAAAAAAAAAAAGTGAAAAAAATGAATTTAACTTGCAACCTTATTTAATTAAAAGTGAGGCTAATATTCCAACATTGACGCCAAACGTTGAAACTGATATTTTTACTTTTTAATTTTCTTTGTAGCTGAGTACCACTAAAACTAAGCTAGTCAGTTTAAATTAAAGGTTTTCTTTTTTAAAAAAAAAAAAAAAAAATTGTTATTCATTTTTCTATGCACTCGTAGCCATTCGTGAGTACGAATGATATTTTGCATAACATTTGCTATTTTATCAAATTCGATTAATTCAAAATTTGAAAAATTTTTCACAATTGAGCTTTGGAATTTTTGTGTGAATTTTTTTTGTAAGCGATCTGTAACAAACTTGTACATTTTTTAAAGTTTAATCGAATGCTACAGTGCAGTAAAGAATTAAATGTTTTTAAAAGAAAAAAAATTTGATACGAATAAATATTAAATTCTTATTTTCGTTAGAAAAACCCCTAATTAATAAAAATAAACCTTGGTCTTTAAGAAAATTAATAAAAAAACTTTCTTTTTTTTGTTTTTTTTTAAATTCTAAAAATAATTTTTCTTCTTAGTTACAGTTTACTTAAATTAGTTTTACTTTAATAATATTTTGTAATCACCTTAAGCAAATTAAAAAAAAAAAAAAAAGGAAAAAAAGTAATTAAAGTTGAAAAGTAATTTGTTTTTTTTTTTTTTTTCAAATAGGTTAATCCTTTCGAAATAATTTAAATTTATAAAAAGAATAATTAACTAGAAAGATAAGGATAAAAAAAATTTTTTTTTGTATTTGATTTAATTAACTTGGTAACCTAGGAAAACATGGCGGCAAATAACGAATAATTGAATACATTTAAAATTTATTTAATGGAAATCATTCGATAAATACATAATCATCATTATTTCAAATTTACGTTATTAATACTAAATTTTATTAATAAATCGATGGAAATTAAATTTTTTGCAAAAAAAGGAATTAAAGGGTACCGGGTAGTAATGAGTTTTTTTCGATAAAAATTAACGAACAGTTTAGCCAACCGAACAATAAAATTTAAAACGGCAGCGATGAAACTTAATTATCTTATCATTCGACTCATCAAAATTTGTCGACAAGTTAAAATGATGGAATATTAACGAAATGTGCTTTTTTGATCGAGAAATAATATAAAATGTAATAATTATGGATTTGCCAAAAACATATCTCGAAGGATTTCATTATTTAAACGATGTAAAAAAGTTACAATATAATAATCTGGGTAAAACTGGACTTAAAGTTTCGAAAATAGGATTCGGTGGTGGATGTTACGGTTTACAATATGGGTACGTTTATTATTTTATAATAATTAAATCCTGAATGATTTTCTAATAAAAAAAAAAAAACCTTAAAAAATTATTATTAGGGAATTCGATGTTGAAACTGCACAAGAGTCAGTAATGGAAGCATTAAAAAAGGGTATTAATTATATAGACACGGCACCGTACTACGGCGAGGGTAAATCAGAAGAAATATTAGGACAGGTATTGAAAAACGTACCTAGAAGTGTTTATTACATAGGAACAAAAGTCGGAAGGTATAGTTCTGATCCTGTAAATGGTTTTAATTTTAGTAGAGAGTCAACAATAGCAAGCGTAGAGAATAGTTTAAAAAGACTTGGATTGTCATATATCGATTTGATACAAGTATAAAATTTTTTCTTATACTAATCATGGTGTCATAAGTTTTTTTTTTTAACAATTATAAAAAACACTTTAAGGTACACGATGTAGAATTTGCTCCTTCTGTCGATGTGATCATTAATGAAACCTTACCGGCTTTACAAGAAATTGTAGAAGGTAAAAAAGCAAGATTTATTGGAATTACTGGTTACCCCCTTGATAAAATTCTGGAAATTGTTGAAAAAAGTAAAATTAAAATCGATTCCGTTTTAACTTATTCAAGATTGACATTAATGGATGATTCATTAAGGGATTATTATTCCAAATTTAAAGTAAGAAAACTAAAGAAAAATTTTATGTTAATCAGTTGGGTTCATAAATTTTATATTTAGGAAAAAGAAGTCGGTATAATTCATGCATCTCCAACTGCTCTTGGACTTTTAACAAACAGAGGATCATGGCCTTGGCATCCGGGAAATTTCCTTCATTGTGATTTATGCCTAAAAGCGAGTCAATATTGCAAAGTAGGTACAAAAAACTATTCCTACCCGTCATATTTCTTAAAAAGTTTTATTAACACCCTTATTTATGACGTGGCATAAGGAACGAAATGTTGAATTGGGAAATTTGGCGGTTAATTTTACATTAACACAACCGGAAGTTGATGTTCATTTGATTGGTATGCCAACTAAAAATTACGTCGATAACAATTTGAAAATATTAATTAACGGTTTATCGGATTATGAACTTGAGGTGACAAGAGAAATTAACGAAAGGTATTTTTTTTTTTATTTACTTACGTTTAATAGTTTAATAATAATAATAATAATAATAATAATAATAATAATAATAATAATAATAATAATAATAAATAAAAAACCTTTTTAGGTTCTTTAAACCGAGTGATAAAAAAAATTGGGAAAATATTGAAGTCGAACAATATAAAAAAATTAGAAAAGATTTGACGGAATCGAATGATTTAAATAAATAATTAATTAAATTTTAAAAAAAAATTTTATAAATTTTATTTATTTAATAAATAAATAATAATAATAATAATAATATTTATTGTAAATAATTTATTTATTAAAAATTTAATTTTTATAAGACTTGCTTGTTCAATTTTGATTGTTCCCCAATTCTCGAAGACCTGGAACAAAAAAAAAAAAAAAAAAAATTTCGAATCTGATTCGTCTTTTTTTTTTTTTTTGTCAATTTCAAAAATAAAATGGCGATGATTGATTGATTGATAATGGCGATTGGGACTTACTTGGAATGTATTTTATGAAATATATCAATTATATTATGTTGTGGGAAAAATGTTTCCAAAATTCCTTCCATCAAAACGTATAAAATCCTTCGGTTTAAAACCGGATGTTGAAATAAATGAAATATTTTAATTAAACCTCTTCTCGTTGTGTCGCTACCAATGATATGTTTTAATTCGTCCGATAGGGAAGACAAAAGTGCCGTTTTTGCCATAACTCTTGTTCTTAATTTGGTAGATTCATCTCTGGTGGTAGGAACAGCTCGGTGACCGTTAGGCCATATTGATTGCTAAATAATTTTTTTTTTTTTTTAATTTATAAAACTTGTTGGAACTTGGGAAACGAAAAATTTGTATTTGTATTTACTTTCAATGTATCCAAATATGAAGACACTTGCTCCGGGCAAGTTAAAACAGCAACAAATTCAACAATTTTTTTATTAACAATATCGCCAAACATTGTTCTGACTATTTGTCTCAATATGGTAACTATACGTCTTCTCAACCATTGATTCCTTGATTTCAAATCGAAAACTTCATCCATTAATAACAACATAATTCTTAAAGGAATGTTATCATCCGTCTACAAAAAAAAAAAAAAAAAACAATTATTTTATTCCATTTATTTACATTTTATTATTATTATTAACCGATATTACTTCTTGATGTAAAAATGATCCGACTTTCATTGGATCGTCAAAATTTTTATTTTTCAATTGAAAAACTTTTGTTATCCCATCGAATACTTCATCGACCGTATTTAAAAAATTATCCGGCATTGTGCGTACCGCTTGACCAACCGTTCTCATTGACGTTTTCAATGGATTAACCAGAGTATCAAACTAAAAAAAAATTTTACATTAATAACTAAATTTGTGATTAAAAAATTCTTTACGAAATCCTACTAACGGTTTTAGCAAACGGTCCTGTACACTTATCGTATTCTCCGGGTTCTAAAAATGAAACCAGCATGGAAAGTAATTTCGGGTACTTGTCGGATACTTCGACGCTTTGCAATAAAACTTGCAAGTATCCATTTAACATTTTCATTCTTTTTTCAAGAGTTGCTCTCTCCATGTTGTGGAATGTTTTCTTACCGGGAAAAGTCAATTTCCCGAGCGTCGCATAAGAATCTTTAACTTTTTGTTGTAAATCGTAAAAATCTGAATATCTCCTAAATAATAAAAAATATTAATATGTACGTATGTACATAACTTATTTATTACAAATATTTTGAGCGTGACAAACCTATAAACGTGCCATTTGTCGACAAAACCGTATTCGTATATCTTGCAGACGTAAAGTGCGTATATACCGTATGTTTTACCTCTGTCTTGTACGACACCCGTATCGATTATTTCAGCTGCCAAAGTGAATTTTCCTTTTTTCTGTATAGAATTAACATCTTTGGTTTTTTCTACTACCACTGCTACATTTTCGTAATTTTCTACAAACAAAACAAAACTATTGTTACACAATTTTATTTAATTAGTCGTAACAAATGAATCCTTACCATCAGACGATGTATTAGCCATTTGATCATTTAAATCCGCGTTGTCTAATGAATGCAAACTCGTGGTGTCGGAAAGACTTATATTGTCCAAACTGGAAGAATCATCATCGTTATCTTCAACTAAAATGCTATCTTTGAGCAATTCCAACTCGGAAAGAAGTTTTATGTAATTTGAACTTTTATAAAATCCAGGGAGGAACTTTTCATTTGTCTAAAATAACATTAATGATAACACATGTCAAGCCGCAAACAATTTTTTAAATTTAATTCACACAATTTAATAATTGATTTTTTAATTACTTGTAATTTACAATAAATATAATTCAATATGTCGTCGAACCAATCATCCGAAATCGTTTCGGTATTAATTCGTTGCGTTAAATTTTTTAATAAACGTTCTTCTATAATTATTTTCGAATTTGCAGATTCCATTAAATATTGATCGCAAATACTAATGGCCGTCTCTTTCATGTTTTCTAATGTTAATCTAGAAATAAAACTTTGTGGTAAAATAAAGCGTTAAATTTTTAAAAATAAATAAATAAATAAATAAATAATTCATACCCAGAGATGGAATCATTTCTTATTGAAGAACCGCCACCAGACAGATAAATTTCGTCATCGTTATTTGTTTTCTTAATATTTAATCCGTCTAATAATTTTCTAACGGACAATTTCCAACCTGAAACATCGTAATGGTGTTACTGATGAAAAATTAGTATTATAAAAATACATTCCTTTATACCTTCCACGTTAAGATACAAAAAAATATAATTTTGTTCTTTTGTTGAAGTCATGTAGTCTATGAAATATGAAAGAGCCACATTATTTTTTAATATAAAATCTAGCGTTAAAGTGACTAGCTTTGAACTTTGTGTAAGTAAACACTCTGCTGAAACTCCTTTAAAAAAAAAATAAACTTAATTAATTAATTAATTAATTAAAAAAAAAAAAAAAGATGGTAGATTCGTGCAATCCTTGACTTTTAATTTAGGTACCTAAAGAGTCTGTGTCAAGACCTTCCTGCAGTCTTTTCAGTCTATTGTCTAAAACTTTATTAACGTACAACAAACTGCTCAATTGCTGTTTAACAAAATTGTCGTCGTTTCCACCCGAGTCTCGAGATCGTAGGTGAGCAATTTCTTTGGCTAATAATTCCTTAGTAGCTTCGAGTTCACCCACGCTATCAGAAGTTCTTAAAGTTTGCAAAAAGGCATCGGGAGTCAGAGCAAAATCGCGACACTAAAACGAAAAAAAATAAACAAATGAAATTATTTCGAGTAAAATAATGATTTTTAATTTATCCTGCTTAACTTACCAGCCATATGATACATAAATTAATATAATCAGGGTCGGTTATTAAAGTAAACAAAGGCAATACGACTCCACCGACAAGGAGGTCTCGAAGTAACAACCGAAAAGACAAACAATGAAAATCATCAGGAGGAAGAAACAACAAAAGTAAAACATCCATCAGACTTTGTAGGAATAATTTTTCTTGTTCTTTGTCAATACAAATTGTATCTCTACATAGGATATGCTTTTCCATGGCTAATTCTAAATCGAAAAAAACACCTTCCAAATCTAATACTGATGAGTCGCTATCATTATTATGATTTTTTATCTTTCCCGAGTCACCACCACCACTACCACTACCAGGAGGTGATTTAGATGAAAAATTGATACCTAAAACAAATGAAAAAAAAAAATTGCTGAAGAAAATTTAAGGGAATTTCAAATCATGCATTCGGCTGTTATCATCTTGTAAATGTTTTACGAAGCAGTTTAATACTCGACTTTTTCATTAGCTAAATGATTATCTGTTAATTTTAAAATAAAAACTTGAAAAAAATGCTTAATAAAACTTGTTTTGTTTTTTAAAATAGGTAAACTTATTTTAGTTCAATCACTTAATTATAAAAATTTCATTAAGAAAAAAATTACCCAAAATGGAAAAAAAGATATTTCCACACGGCAGATAATTGAATGTAAGTCATCAGGAAATATATAGTATCAATTGCAGGGTCATATAAGTTCAATTTTTCATTAATTTTTTTAAGACATTTTACTTTATGTCAAACAAAATGAAATTCCTGGGAAAAGAAAATCGTTAATGTCGCCTGCCAGTGAAATAATTCAGTATGAGAAGAGAAAAACCAGGGATTAAAATGTGAATGAAATTTTTTACAAAAAGTAATAATAATAATAATATGCCGAAAAAGGTACCTGAATTTGAATTATTTCTAGAATGATTATATTGAATATTTGATCCTGAAGGATTTCTAAAATGTGACTGTTTCTGTTCGGATGCAGTGTTTTGTTCTGTTGTGGTTTTGAAACTCTGTAAGCTTTGAGGTTTTGTTATTTCGTTGGCAAGCTTTTGTTTCGCTTCGATAATTTCTTTTTGTTTTTGCTTAGTTTTGGCACATGCTTGACGATACAAGCGTAAGTGAGAAGCAGCATCATCCACCAATCTTGTAGTCAAATATGGAATCCAGTCTACATCTTTAATTCTAAAAAAAAAAAAAAAAATACAGATAATTTTTTTCATTCATTGTTTCAAAGCAAAACTCAAATCAAATGAATACGAATATAAAGTGGTGAAAAAAAAACTACTTCTACTTCTATAAGGGTTAAGCGTTGGTACAAACCTAGCTGCTACTTGAACAATAACCTTTTGTCCAGTGTTTTTAACATGGTAATAAAATTCTTCATTATCACTGACTTTATCATACCACAGATAAATGTAATCCCTAATAAGGTAACTAATTATATCATGTAAGTTTTCATCGATTACTTGAGATCCAGTCAATCTATTATCACATTTTGGTAAAACTTTCAAATTTGAACATTCATTTATAATTTTTTTTATTCCAGGAGAAATCACATCCGTTGATTTCTCTGCATATATGTTTTGTTTCACATGCCAATTGTTAACATCTTCTTCATTTTTAACAAATATATATTGAAACACCCTGAAACATATGTCGAAATAACGGATTAAAATTAATACATATGGTTAAAGTTTAATAGTATTATTTAAACAACTTTAAGTGCATGTGACTATCACACACGAAAATATACCTAATTAAGTCCTTGACTTAAATTTTATACGTACCCCCAAATAAACAAGATTAAAAATAAAAACCCGATAAAAATAGACGATAATCCAAAAGTAGAAATCCAAAGAGCTATCAAAACTCCTCCCCAACCAAAAATTTGAAATAACATATCTCTCTCTCTCTCTCTCTCTCTCTCTTGATTTCAAATTGATAATTGTCAAGTTATAACATTATGAAATGTAATTTAGTTTTTAATGAAATAATTAAATAAACGTAGATTTTTTTTGGTTGCATTAAACTAAAAAATAATAAATTTGTCATCACTGTAACTATACAAGCGAGACACAATAATATACAATAAATTAAATAAATATTTTCAATGTTACTTTGACAAATCTGTACAAATAATAATCCGCCATTGCAAAGCAGTATACACTTTACAAATGATTACATCTTGATCTTAGCAAACGTTTTTTTTTTTTTTTTTTTTTTTATTAAAAAGGTTCCACTTCGATAAAAAAGTTACTCATTCTGTAAAATTTTATATTAGGATTTTTCGTTTATATCAACTTTTTTTTCCTTTTTAATTTAAAAAATTATTATTTACATTAATTTTGCTAAGGTTAGACTACAAAACTAATTTAATGCCGCCGGGTAGTTAAAACGAACGAATAGTATTATTCATCGTATAACTTTTCTTTTTACAACAATATTAGGCAGGTATTCTCTAATTACTCATTACTATTGAGTTAATAAAATTATTTGATTAATTTTCACGTATTGTATTACTTTGTAATTCGATATGTAGAGTAATTATAATTGTATTTTCCTATTATTTTCATTTTGAATATTTCAAATCGATGTCTTTTTCAGCTATTGTAGTTCGATGGTAAATGCATAACGTATTTTTTTTGAAAAATGCGTTCAGAAGACGAGTTCGTCGTTATTAGGATTTATCAGGCTGGCGATGAAAACGAATGCTGTAAATTATTGAAAGAAGGTGTAATGGCTACCGTGAAGCCAGCATTTTTAACGGCTTTAACTAGGGAAATTACTTTTCAAGTAATAATAACTACTGCTGCTTTGATGTTTGTCTTTATTGGTCTGCCTCCGACAATATGCATTTCATCCATTCCTGCTACAGTTATTTTTATTTACTTCTGGATTTACATGACACATTTAAACTCTGCAACAAATTTGGCAAAAGAAGCATTTAATATTGAAAGAGATTTTTTGGCATCAAAATATTCTTGTTAGCATGTTTTATTAAAATGATTTATCGAATCGGTTTTATTTATACTTTTTGAAGAACAAAGAAAGGTTTCTTTTCAGGTTTTTGGGTGGCAGAAGTTTATGAATTTCCATTATCTGGAAAAAATTCAGGACATTCAAAATTTGAAATAATAAATGAAAATGATCTAGATTGTAAATTACAAGATGATAAAGTTTACAATAAGAAAGTAATTGGTATTATCGGAGTAGAAAGATGTACTGTAATGTATGAATCTGCCAGACTTAAAAGATTAACTGTCTCACATAAATATCAGAAAAAAGGAATTGGTTCTGCTTTGTTAAAAGAAGCCATAGAATTTTGCGAGAAAAGAGGTACTAAACAAAAAGTGAAAATTTTAACAGTATTCGAATAATAGTTTGCAGTATTTTTATTAAATTTAAAATTATTTTTACCAGGTTACAATTCCATTGAATTAGTCACATCAGAATATCATGATAATGCGAGAAAATTATTTTTGAAATATGGATTTAAATTGAGGCAATTATATCATAAATCCTTCTCCGGAGTACTAGTTCAAATGTATCAATTCACATTGGCATTGTTGTCTAATAATCCTGAAAAAAAATGTGATTAATTATTGACATAATGTTTTTGTGCATTAGGATACAAGATATTATATAATGTGACACTAAAGTGAAAAAAATGCATTCCAAAACTGCAGTTTATTTTCATATTTCTTAATAGTATTATGAGAAACAAGATTGATTTTTATAAACAATAATAGTTATTATTTAAAACAAAATTCATTCGGAAATGGTACAATTATGAAATACAGTTGAATAAAGTTGAAATGTACATAAATTAAAAACAGTTTTTATTGCTTACTTTTATAAACAAATTTTTTTTATTTTATGAATTAAGGGGTAAAGATTGAAAAATAGTATTTTAATTTTATAAAAAAATGTTTTTATTTTATTTTAATTCGATTTGAAAATTTTAATGTTTGACAAAGTGCTTCATAAATAAAAGACAATAAAATGCTTTAAAAAAAACTTCATGTTTCAACTAGGCAACAAGTTTCAATTATATTTTTTTGTATTTTTATAATTGTTAGAATATTTAAATATATATATAAATTTGGTATTTTTTTTTTTTTGAAGAAAAAATTATAAATTATTTTAACTTCTACTACTATTTAATAAATATTTTGAATGGCTTATGACAACTTTTAAAAAATTGAAATCTCTTGAACATAAATATTTGCACAATTTTTTTAAGGGGTAAAAAGAAAAACGTATACCATTACAGCATTTCAAAACATTGCATTCTGGTACACATTAATTCACTAGACGCATAGATATACAATAATCATTCTTAATAAGACTTGAATAGAATTATAGTCACTATAGTTCAATAATTGGATTAAAGAAAAAGAGGAGACAATATTCTAAATTAAGTGTTCGAATTTAATTCAAACGATATATAAATAGTCATCATTAAATAACATAAGTAATTGGGCCAAACCCGTATTTACCTGAATAAATGTTAAGGAACCAAACGACTATAATGATAGAAAAAGTGAAGTTGGTACCACGGCATTGATTCTAATGATCCCGACGTTTGAAGTGTTACTATATATATATGTCTCAAAAGTTGAGTGAAAGGGCCAATCACTGCGCACGAACGACCGACGCGCACTCTCATTGCGTGAATCGCTTCGTTGCTCGCCTACGTATATATACGTAACGAGCGTTTCTCTTCTCAATTGATTCGTTGACGTCGTCTATCGAAGTTCATCGTTCTCTCTTTTTTAAAATTTATTACTCATCATGTCTGGACGTGGTAAAGGTGGAAAAGTCAAGGGAAAGGCAAAGTCTCGTTCCAATCGAGCTGGTCTTCAGTTTCCCGTGGGAAGAATTCACCGTTTGTTGAGGAAGGGAAATTATGCCGAAAGAGTCGGAGCCGGAGCTCCGGTTTATTTGGCCGCAGTAATGGAATATCTGGCTGCTGAAGTTCTCGAGTTGGCTGGTAACGCTGCTCGTGACAACAAGAAAACTCGTATCATTCCGAGACATTTGCAATTGGCCATCAGAAATGACGAAGAATTAAACAAATTATTGTCCGGAGTAACGATCGCACAAGGTGGTGTACTACCAAACATCCAAGCAGTACTCTTGCCCAAGAAAACGGAAAAGAAACCCTAAGCCAGAAATATTTTGTCGATATTTTTTTTTTATTACGCAGAACAAACGGCCCTTTTCAGGGCCAACAATTATAACACGTTTATAAAGTAATGCTCTTTTACTAATCCTTTGTATACAACAAAATTCTCATGCTACATCTCAACGCTACATTTGAAGATTAATTTTGTGATTTCAAATATAGTAAATACTTCGTTGACGATTTAATTTCTTTTAAATTTAAATAAGTTTCCTTACACAAATTTTTTTCAAGAAATTTATTTCTTCAATAGAGGATTGTAAAGTTTTTCATGGCGAACATTGTCACTTTTTTACAGAGCTTTTATTTGTAGAATAATTCCATCTTTTTAAGTTATTCGTGAAATCACCAATCACTAAGTCCCTGTGAAATTGAAACGAGTCAATTGGACTGTTTGTCAATTTAGTGAGTATGATAGACAATGTGAAAGAATTTTTGGCTACATTTAAAATAATTGCATTTCAAAATTATTGCATTTCATTGCGAGTTTAACAAATAAAATTTAGACGATACAATATACAATAAAGGCCTTACTAAATAACGAAAAAAAAATTAACTATGAAGAGTTCCGATAAATAGATTAATCATAAGATGAAGACATTAAGCTTTTTTAACGCGTTTAATTTGTGGGCCCTGAAAAGGGCCGTTTGAGTTAATGAGTAAAATGTAAAAAACGGAAAAATTAAAAACTGCTTAAGCTCTTTCTCCTCTGATTCTACGGGCGAGCTGGATGTCTTTAGGCATGATTGTTACACGTTTGGCGTGAATGGCGCACAAGTTCGTGTCTTCGAATAATCCGACCAAATAAGCTTCGCTCGCTTCTTGCAAAGCCATAACAGCCGAACTTTGAAATCTCAAATCGGTTTTGAAATCCTGAGCGATTTCTCTCACTAGACGTTGGAAAGGTAATTTTCTGATGAGCAATTCGGTACTTTTTTGATAACGTCTGATCTCACGAAGAGCTACGGTTCCCGGACGATAACGATGAGGTTTCTTGACTCCTCCGGTGGCCGGAGCACTTTTCCTGGCGGCCTTGGTAGCGAGTTGTTTACGAGGAGCTTTTCCTCCCGTTGATTTACGAGCAGTTTGCTTTGTACGAGCCATAATTCAAAATTATACTAAATAGTATAAGATAGTAGTTATACGATAAAAAGTAAGTCTCAGATACGAAGTCTGTTAGTAAAATGATGAGTACATTGAGAACGAAATACGTTTATATACTAGTTTGATCGAAGCCGAGTTGCGTTTCATTGGCGGTCGCGCCCTCGATCAGAGCTCTCATTGGTCGTTCGAATCCGCACGTGCTCCGCATGGTTTAAATAACGCGTCGTTCGATAATTCGTCATCATTCACTTTGTAATTTTTGCGAAGTAAACACTTATTACATTAGTTCGTCAATATGACTGGTAGAGGAAAAGGAGGTAAAGGTCTCGGTAAAGGAGGAGCCAAGCGTCATCGTAAAGTATTGAGAGATAACATTCAGGGAATCACGAAACCCGCCATACGTCGTTTGGCTCGTCGTGGTGGTGTGAAACGTATATCTGGTTTGATATACGAAGAGACTCGTGGTGTATTGAAAGTATTCTTGGAAAACGTTATTCGTGATGCAGTCACCTACACCGAACACGCCAAGAGAAAAACAGTGACAGCCATGGACGTCGTATACGCATTGAAAAGACAAGGCAGAACCCTCTACGGTTTCGGAGGTTAATTTAATTCTCGCCGAATTATCGACATCTATTCCAAAGATTTTTTTACAACCAAAACGGCCCTTTTCAGGGCCAAAAATATTACCATGTAATAGATGAAGCTTTAAAGTACTCTTTTCGTAGCAGTATTAAAAGTGGTGATACACTTTACTATTTTGATAATTGTTTAAATTAATCTTTTGCCCTATTTTACACTTTAGCATCTTGTCTTGGGTATATTTAATTTCTTAAATTTCGTATTATACAATTTTTCGGTTGAACACAATTTATAACTGATTCTGTCGCGGTAATGTGACAGGATAAAGATTTTAATATTAATTTTAAATTGGTTTTATTATTTGTATTGACGGTCCTGTTTGATGTGCAACACTTATAAGCAAACATTTATTTTTGAAGGTTTTTGAATTAATTTTGTAAGAGACAAAGCCATAAAAACTAGTAAATATTAAAAGAAAAATTGCTTCTACCTATTTATTAATGTAATGAGTATTTTTGGGAACAATATATTACATAAAATTTGAGCGAGATGGAACATGTCCTATCTTTTTAAAATAAGTAAAGTAATTTGTAATTGTACAAACAAAAAACTCATAAAACAATTATTCATGGCCTAACTAATTAGTTTATTATTCCGTTTTAGATTTATTCTTTTTTTTACATGTCGATTTCTCATAAGATTAATGTCAAAAAATAAATTATCTCGCCTAATGACTCAGACACTATTATAAATATTTAACATTAAATAAATATATAGTACTTTTATATAATTTCAGTGAACTCCTTTGACAGTAAAATTATATATTAAATCCTTACATATGAATGTTTAAATGAATAACAAATTATATTTTAACAAATAAATATTTTATGAGCGATTTTCACTTTTAAAAAAAAAAATTTTTTTAACTCGAATCACGGGGTAAATATCTATTAAACTAGTGATGAAAAGTTGTTCTGAAAATTAAAGTTTGTTTACTATTTTTTAAAATTCGCGTGAAAAATATTGAGAAAATTTATGTAATATTAATTTCTAACATTCTCGGCAATTTTGTATAGAAAAAAAATTATTTTCTATAAAAAAAAAATCACGGAAAAATGAGGTGTCAAACTGAAAAATGTCGAAGTTGAAGCGTAGAAATCAATCAAAAATTAATTTTATTTTGATTTTCGTTAAATAATTTTTGAAACTTTTATTCTTAATTAAAAATTTTGAGTATCACAAATTAAAATGATATTTTGAAAAAGTAATTAACAAAATTTTAATTGAAAAAAAAAATTATTCAAAAAGAAAATACCGAACAAGAAATGAATAAATAAAAAAATTTATTTTCGAGTTTGAGTTAGGAGACGCCTATTGCGTCCGCACGAACGAATGGCATAACTTGCTCTCTCGTTCGAGTTTGATTTACATTTCAAACTTGTTTTTTTCTGTGTGTATTTTTCATTGACATGTCGGAGACTGAAACGGCTTCTGCTCCGGCAACAAGTACTACTTCGCCGAAAAAAGCAGCCAAAAAGAAAGCATCAGGTAGTACGGCCGCTGCAGCAGATGCGAAAAAAACAAAAGCGAAACCAACTCATCCTAAAACGTCTGACATGGTTACGGCAGCAATCAAGAACTTAAAGGAACGTAGAGGCTCATCTCTCCAAGCCATTAAAAAATACATCGGTGCCAATTACAAAGTGGACGCGGAAAAATTTGCTCCGT